TGTTACCTAGGCTAGACTTCGCCCCTAGGCCTACGAATAAAACCATGTGTTTTGTGTTTTTATTCATAATTTTACGATGCCATAATAAAGTGTTCAAATAAAACCATTTGTCTTGTGTATTACTTCATCGCTTATTATCAGTAATTGGTTTCTTTCCACGAACCCAAAAATAATGGAATATTCCAAGTAATTAATCCTATCGCGCCGGCAACGTGATGGTTCAAAGCGATAATACCATCGCATTGTCTTCGCGATTTTGCGTTGTTTTGTTTTGAGATGCTCCCTTACCTTTAAGCAAACTCCAAGATTATCTCCAAGCAAGTAAAATCAAGTATTAAATAAAAGTGATATGCTTGAAGCCCTATTCCCGGCAATATATAATACAAAATTACTAGTTTAACTGAACTTAGACATTTCTAAACACGAAAAAAATGCAAAATAAGACTATATTTTTTTCCATTTTTTTTTGTGTGTTCCATTCAAAAAATATATGCGGATGAATTTTCTATGCTTGATTTTGCAATAGGTCTAATCAAAGATTTTATAATAACAAGACAGCGTTCTCTGCGGTTTGCATGTAACAAATAGAAGCGTCCAATTCACGCAGAAAACAATAGCAAGTAATTGTAATTGAAGGAGGGCGTCCTAATTGTTATTATGGCGGTTGTTCCAGAATTTGCACTGAGATCCTAGATGTCAAAATTCAAAAGTAATTGTAAAGAGAAATTTACTGCTGGAAATCCCAGCCTAGAAAACCTAACAACTACTAAAGTGTATCCAACCATACTATAAAAAAGCCACCCAATTAAAAAACTTCATGCCCCAAATATCTTCTTCAGGACATACTACACTACATAACAATAAGCAATAAAATTCATCCTCTTAATAAAAGTGACAAGTAAATATGAAACATATAGAAAAAAACAATACTAATTGTAAATTTCCCACGACAATTTCTCAGTCTCTAACAAAAAAGTATGATGTTTTGTGATCTTAAGAAGAATTAGATATATAAATTGTCCCATTTTTAAAGCACCTATTTATAAGCTTAAAACTAGCATGTCACCCTTGCTGTTAAAAAAGAAGTTGAATTAACTAATGTCGGGCACTCACGTGCACGGCATTCGTCCACGGCGCGATTCTCCGAAGAACGCAATGCAACGACAAACATGCACCAGATCATTTTTAAGGTCTATCCGTTCAGACTGGCACCAAAACTCAACATCGCGTCATCTTCCGGTCACAAGTAGCGGAGTTGTCGTACGACCGTCGTACGAGGCAGCGAGTGCCCGACTTAAAAAGAAGAAATTTAAAGATGCACTTTCTGTCATGAGCTCAACAAATTAAAAAATTCGGTACCATATTTGAATTACAGCATTTAAGTTTGTAACTTTAACACGTTGGCTGCCAGCGACGAGTATACTCGCTCATAGGGTGTTGCTGAGGGCGCCAGGAACGAGTATACTCGTCAAATCGGGGGAAACATTCTAGCGTTTATAACTTCTTTATTATACATTGTAGAACCACAGACTCAACGGCTGGTAGTTCGGGGAAGATACACCTCGACGATAACGTACAAATGACATATATGTCTGTTGTGTTATTTTGCCGGTAGTACACTCGAGCAGTACAAGTGAGGGCGCCCTTTGAACATATACCAACCCATGCAAAAAGCGGACGAGATAACTCGCACTTGGCATAGTCAGTAAAAAGTTCTATCACAGTGCCATCGACGAGCATACTCGCCCCCCTAATATTTTCCCGCCAATTTATTAGACACTTCATTTTGATGACATATGACTAGATAAAATTTCAAAAAAGCATGTTTGTACATGTAAACTTGTTTTGGCACACGGGAAGGAACCTTAAAAAAAGGTCTGGCAGTCAACGTGTTAACAAGGAAGGAATGTGACTATGGCTATTTTTATGAGTTTCATAGGTAATAATCCTACTTCACATGCTTCATTGTTGTCCGGGCGAGTCGATTGGCCGAGCGGTTAAGACAGGGGAACCATGAAATACAGCCATAATATTGGCGCTGGTTTAGAACGGCATGCTCCCCTATGGTTCCGGTGGTGGAACAAGGCTTCTCGGATAAGGACTCTAAACCGTAGGCCCAGTGTACACAATTGGCTCGTGAACCCAGTACATCATTCGAGAAAAGTAGGGGGTTACCTGGGTGTACTGGTCCATTTCCACTCTCCTGTCAGGCCACAGAAGGAGCGTTTACATCGCGGCCCACGTCAGGTATTCATGCTACCTGCGAATGCGAATCCTTCTACCACACTACGTAAGCAAGATCATACACACTAGCTACGTAGTGACTCGATAAGAAGAATTGTTGCCCGGGGTATCAACTTCAGAACCATTCATCCTTCGAATTGTTACCTCCTAACAAACGGAAGTTACATATTATACTTAGTGAATTTAGCCTGAATTTTCCTACCTGTCACATTTTTCTATCTATTTCTATTCTATTCAGACCACAATTACCAAGCATGTATTGACAACTACAGTGTAAGTAGGCCTACATGCCAACTGAAACCCACCTAGATCTGTGTGGCTCCATTGAGAGTAGCTTCAATCGTCAAAACTGTAAACTGCTGAGCGTGCTGCTTTCCTTTTTTTCAGTGCACATTAAAGAATGAATGAACTCTTCTGAAAAGAGTAGAGGATTGTCTCCCAGTGTATACTGCCTAATTTACAACCAAAAGGTCTCCACTGGATGTCTGGATTTTGTTGTGCGTTATCAATGCCTGTGTTCATACAGTATGCAACTTGTCTTTATATTTAGCGGGTAAAACTCATCGAGTTACCTGTGGCCCTACAACCAACCCTCCTTCATGCTTTGTATAATGGGTAGTTTAGGTCATGTTGTGATTTGGCCTCTATTAAAGCCAAAGCCCAGCACTTCCATTTGCCATTGTGAGCCTGTAGGTTTGGCCGTTCCCCACCGTTTCATCCAGACAGTTGTTATAGTGACTATAACTCCCTGTTCCATCGAAACCTTCCTTTGTTTGGGTAGACCCTCACACACTTATCAGGGCGAAAGTTGCCTCTTCTGTCCAGGCATTGTTTCGGTTCATTGTTGTTCAGAAAATTAATCGGAAATAATAAAATAAAGTTACCATTTTGCGGCGTAGGAGCAATGCACATGTTGTCATCTTCGGAGACCTGAGAGCTAAGAGACAGAAATAATGCTTATCATCGTACTCGTAGCATCTGAGGTATTTTGGACATCCCTGATTGGGCCTGTAGGCCTAAAAGTCAATAATGTCATCACCTAGGTCACAAAGATTAGCCTCGGGCAACTTTCTATTGGTAAAGTTTGGTGGTTTGGCTGGACGGCATTTTGGCCAGTGTTTTCTCTATGTAAAAGAACTAGCTTTACAAAAGAATAAAAGTATTCCTTGCTATGACTGTGTAAGCCTTAAAAACGGAATGAAGCTCATGTTCCTACTTTTGGGTGGGTCACACCCTGATTGATTGCTGCAATATGCCCACATGCAAAGTTGTATTGCTAAAATTGGTGTGTTGAGTTTTTAGAGGATTATAAACAAATTTTGATTTGGGGCACAGTTTAAAATTGACTTAGTGACAATGATTACTGCCACAAACTTAAGTATAAACAGGCCCTATGAATGATGTAGCAATTCAATTATGATAATAAAACAGTAAAAATGGGCAGACATTTCCTTCATCTTCTGGGGCAGATGCAGAGAGTGTAGACGGTGCGATCACACCCCCTTAAATTGTATTAAGAAAAATAATTTGTTGTATTGTATTGTTGATATACTGTATCATCATTGTTATCATTACGAGAATAGTACTAGTAAGATTTTTGTGTCTATGCCCCCCAGGGGCAAAGACACTATGTTATGATCTGGCAGTTAAAGATGGCAGAAAGGGTAAATCCGGTGGAGGTACATGATGGGTCATGTGTCATCTTAATAGGTTATTACTGTAAAAAAAATCATAAAAAATACACCACACATTTCCTGATAACCGAATCCCATGTGGATACTTTATTAGTAAATATAGTATTTAAGGCAGTATAGGGCATAGACACATGCCCCCGCTGGGAACCTATGTTTAAAGTATAAGAGTGCAATTTTCAGGCACCTACAGTAGAGGTCCATATTCTCAAAATTTTCACACTTAGCCCCAACCATGGTGGGGCTGAGTTGGTGTGTGTGTGGCCTCTCACGCCCCTCCTACTGCCAAAACCTGTATCTGCCCCAGATCTTCTCCTTCCAGCATTTATTCAATCACATTTCTGTTCCTTTCAACTTTCCAAATTATGCCTAGAGGCGCTAACACACGAAGGAAGTAAATGTTTTAGGGATTAACGGTGGAAACAGGATACAGTACTGTATATTAACCAAAAATATTTTTCATAGGGGATTCCCCTTCCCTAAACAATTATGAATTTGACTACAGAGTCAGGATTAAATCCCATGATGTATAATAAGGACAATTGTGAAAGGTAAGTCTCCAAATTTGAGACAGCAATTATCCGAAGCATTCAACGCTGTCGTCAGTGTCACAATTGTCACTATGAATGTCAGTGAGGCTATTTATAAAGAGATAATCTACAATTTACAATGCAATTGTTAGCCTCGGTCCCAGGCCCTAGTTTTGGGTTACTCACTCTCTATTGCACTTAGTGCACACGATACCTAATTTAACTGGCATCCCATACTCAATTTTTTTGGGGGGATTTGGGCCTGGGCAAACGATTCGTGCGATTCATTTCCCACATCAAATTCGATTTGATATCATATGCATGACTGATTTTGTAAATCATGTGATTAGCTTACTTCACGCATATTAATTAATCTTAGTAAATTTTCAAAATTGAAGATGCAGATATCTCGACTAGTACAAGCTAGATCAGCTCCCTTCTGCCTACCTACTTGAATTAAAACAGTTAGTATATAGTTCTGGCCTACTAAGAACGACTATGGACTGATTACAGGAGTACTGTAGGCTATACTTACAGAACCTTGCTCACCGCTAGCTGCTACACAGATTTAGGTCTTTAGGGTAGAGTATTGTTAAAAAGATAGGCCTCTGTAAGTAAGAACTTAAAAGTAGGCCAAGCTACTTCTAGACTCCAGAGGCCGGTGCCATCCTCCTGGAAAGTAAAAGTGTTGTATTTGTAATGGTATTGCCATCAAATCAAATTTAGTCTTACTAGGGTCTATTCTAAGTATTTTAGGCCTGTTTTATTTAGGAGGACTATTTTTTAGTCATGCCTAACTAGTCGACGCAAGTGACTCAGTTTTGTGGCTCCGAAAATATGAACATTTGATCAGTTGAAATTGTTTATTTCGGTCCGCTCATTTATCCAAATACGGAATATAATAAGATTACGTCATTCTTTTGGCATCCTGGTACCTGCATTCAGTGTTTTACAAGTCGCTTATTCTGTTTCTAAATTAATCTCTCGTTGGTGGCGCTGTCCAGAATGAAAAAAATAATTTAAAAAAAAGACTTGTGGCAAGTCTATGCAATTGTTACATTCTGTGTATTGTTTACTTGAATACCGTAACCAAGGCTGATTTTTTTTCCTAATATTTCACTACTACTGCCTTTTTTCAACTGCAATTTACCACATCCCACACAAGCAGAAATTGTTCGCATGGGATAGAAAATTTGAGAAATCCACCAACTTTAATGTTGGGTTTTCGTTCATTTGTGTGAATCCATCCACAGGAACTACACAGGTGGGTTCCATGTAGCTTCCTTTAGTGAATATCTCATATAATGAATTCTAGTTGCTGTTATCAGTTGACTGGAACAGTCGTAGCAAGGTCATCAATGTCTAGGTTAACAGTGGAAAAAAATCCTCTGAAAAGTTGTTTGTCACATGATCATTTCTAACGCTTTGTAAAATTTTCTGTACATATTTTCTGAATTGTTGAATTTTCTTAAATAAAACAACTAGCCAATTTCCAATCGACCTCTAAAAAGCATTTTACTGTAATCTGTTTTTTTTATAACTCTGAAGAAAAAAAGATTAATAGCTATTTAAACAATTAAAGAACTGTATGCAACCTTCTTATACTTGGTAAATAGTAGTAAAGTAGAGTAAGCTAAAAAAAAAAATTCTTTGTGTTGCACAAGCCAGACCATACCAAAATTATGAAAATATTTATTGACATTTGTCTTCATTTTTGGCAAATAGCTGCCCAAAACACTTAGCAAAGGAGGAGCCCAAAAATATTTCCAATTCCATAATTAACCTAGATTTTAACCCTGTGGTTACCATTTCATTAACAAAAAGGCATTACCGTAGTTCCTGGGTTGTAAGCACACCTTGGGTCATACAGGTAAGCCCACCCCCACCTCCCCCCACTTTATACTTAATTTTCTTACCTCAATCCCAACCAAAATGGGACTGAGGTGGTCTACATCCTCCATTGTGGGATTTTCTCCCTGGGGCCCCCTGTATTTCAATTCCTGGATCTGCCACTGATAATGTAATGTACGTAATGTAGTAATGTACTTTGATAGTGATTTATTAATACAGAAAGTCTCAAAGTACTCAATGCATGGACTAGTTCTTACAGTAAATTCCTTCTCCCCAAGGGTCACTTCATGACTGACCAACTTGGTAAACCAATGCTAGCTACTTTTGTCTGTCCACAACGGGTTGTCTGGACCAAAACACCAGGTTAACACTTTATTCCTCTCAAAAAAGTAAGAAAAGAAAAAATGTGCAACCATTTTTGGAGACATGTTCTTCTGTGATTTTAATGCCCTTTTGAAAGTCAAAACTCTTCAAGCTTCATTGACTTTATCGTTATTTTTAGAAAATTTCTATTAAAAAGGTACAAATTGTCAACACTTCCTTTTTAGGGGATTATTTGAGGTCCTGGTTTCTATAGCAATATATACTTTGATTATTTAGTGTAACTATGTAACCGGTGTTGCTATAAACAAACTGTCAAAAATCCACAAAGACCTTTTTTATATTGTTGGTACATTTTTCTATTTTAAACAGTTTTTTTTTGTAGTGGTAAAACTTTAACACTGCCATTAATTATTAATTCTGTACACAAGTATCAAGTTATTGTTGGTCAAGACAGTGGTTGATATTTTGTTTTTAAAAACACATGTTTAGGATACTTATTGTACTGTAACAATAAGTTTTGACGTATCATAGCGAGTTTAAAAAATGGTACTCTACCAAAGCTAAAACTATTTTTAAAAAGCTTGGTACTGTACAAGGCCGAGGTAAATGATCTGCTGGTGATGTCTTGGGCAGAAATTTGGTTAACATGTGTGAAGTAAATATCAAAATGAAACCAACTTACACATTCTCAAGGACAATTATAGGCCCCTTGCTTTGTTTACATATATTCATGCACTTAGTGGTTCAGTGCGTTCACACCCAGCATTAGATTCCATATTTCTTGCAAAAAAGCAATCTTCACTATCTTTGTTCTCCTGTGACATTTCCTTTACCATCGCTGTTTCAAATTTTACCAGGCTATAAGAACACTGATGCGTTAAGCGCATTGCATGTAAGTAAACAATGCAGAGAAACTACTGTACCAACTGTTTGTTATTTTGCAAATTCATAATGGGTTATAGTCTTCCCACCATGCAGAAAACAAAGTAACATAACTGGTATGTACATTATCCTTCAGTCTGTCCTACTCTACAACTTGCTATCATTTTTAATATCATTTCCTTGTTTTCTTGCATAGGCACCTCTCTTTCATTTTTGACATGCAAACATTCTTATGAAAAATACATTACTGCAAAATGCTGGAGCTTTGACAAACTTTTTACTAAATTAAACTAATTAAAATTCCCTTTTTTCTGCAATTCTTAGTAAATAATTTACTCTATGTATAAAGGCCAATTTACTTTTATATTACAAACATTTGTAAAAAAAAAAATAATTAAAAAAATTATAGCTCACTTATTAAAGGGATTTTATTTATTTATTTATTTATTTTTTTATGATGGAGATCAACACAATTCAGTTTCCACAAATATACCAACCTTCTATTTACTCTGTCCACACATTTCTGACAAAAAACTGTTGTATGCCCATATATAGTCATGATGTGCCAATATATGTGGCAAAGACAAGCCAAACCAGTCACTCGTCGCAAATTGTGTTTCAGAGAAAATAGCAAAAACATGCTAGAATGTAAAATTTTTAAAAATCTATTTTATTTCACTAAACTGAGGTTTATGTACCTATACATCATGCTGTGCTGTTATTTTTCCCAATTTCAATGTTAAAACAACACTTTTTAAAGATTTTATGATAGTTTCTGCATGAGAAATGCTTGAAATCATAAACTTTGAAGGCTGAGTTCTCATATGTGGTAAAGACAAGCCAAACCAGTCACTCGTCGCAAAAATCGATTTTGAGTTATTAATACAGGGTTAAGGAGTAAAATAAGAGCTATAAAATGGTAAAAAAATCATTCAAATCCAACATTTCCTTATGAAGTTACAAGCATTTAAGCATACAGCTGTTTAAAGAACACTATATGAGAAATCAGCCTTCAAAGTTTATGATTTCAGGCATTTCTCATGCAGAAACTATTACAAAATCATTAAAAAGTGTTGTTTTAACATTGAAATTGGGAAAAATAACAGCACAGCATGGTGTATAGGTACATAAACCTCAGTTTAGTGAAATAAAATAGATTTTTAAAGATTTTACATTCTAGCATGTTTTTCTCTGAAACACAATTTGCGACGAGTGACTGGTTTGGCTTGTCTTTGCCACATATATTGTTCTTTAAACAGCTGTATGCTTAAATGCTTGTAACTTCATAAGGAAATGTCGGATTTGAATGATTTTTTTACCATTTTATAGCTCTTATTTTACTCTTTAACCCTGTATTAATAACTCAAAATCGATTTTTGCGACGAGTGACTGGTTTGGTTTGTCACATATGGTCATGATGTGATGTCATCATGACCATATTTAGGCATTACACATGTTTTTGTCAAATAAAATAGTGTGGAAGGAATTAAAGAAAACTAATTTAAGGTCTATGCAAAGAATAAGGTAGGCTTACTGTACTTGTATTATGAATTCTGTTTGAATATATTTGTATATTGTTCCAATTAAAATTTACTTATAGATAGATTACTGTACAGGTCAAAATCTACAGACAGATATACTGCAAGACAATCGTCTTGCAGTCCCCACTGCTGTCACCCTTCCTCAACATAGTAAATTAATATTTGATAAGTTATAGCCCTTTTCTGGAGGAAAACAAATTAGGTACAGATAAATATTTCTAAGATATTGAAGGGGTGTTTAAAAGAATTATTATAAAAGCCTAAGATAAAGATAAAGGTTTTTAAAAAACAGGGGGAAAAGAGGTTATTAATTTCCCAGTTTCTTAATTTTCAATCATTCATATTTTATTTGTTTTTATTAATTATTTCTTTAAGGTGAATTCTGGATCTGCGCCTGATCTCACTGAATTCAAGTTTATATAATAATAACAAATATATATAGATATTATTTTATAGACATTTATCCATGGCATAATTTTTTTGAATTATTACTGAATATTATTATTATGAATGCTGGGCTCATGCTAACCAATCACCAAGTCACCATGTGCGAAAATTATCTTGGATTGGCATAAAAAAAACAGTCAACTACTATAGCCGGTTTGTTTTCGTTTAAGCTCCATTTTTCATTTCCATGTGACGTCTATTTGTATTGTTTTTGTGGTCTGGCTGCAAATGTAACTGTGTTCTTTACAACATATTTGTTATTTGTTAGTTATTTTAACGCGATGGATACAGGGCAGCGGACGATGACTAAATGAAGCTACTACACTCACGACTGCTGACTAACTGGTAGTGTACCCTTTAGGCACAAACTGACGACGGGAGCAGACCTACTAGGCAGCTGACCGTCAGGTACATAATGACTTCCTAGCTTGGGTTCCTGAATGTGATACAGTAATACCAACATCAGGCCTAGCTAGGCCTATGCAATGATAGGAAGAGCATAACATAATATTAATAATAATTTAATCAATGATTTTGTGTTCTTGTCTAATACGTGAAATACATTCAAATATTGTGTGTAATATTTTACGAATGCACCATGCGGGTTGTTTTGTTAACAGTTACAGGCAATTGCGGAGTGAGTAAATCGTGGTTTAATCTAACCATGCTAGGCCTAGATCGTCTAGACTACGTCATCGAGTATCATGGTGAAAACTTTGAACCAACGTACCACTGTGGTGAAGGATCGTGACGTAGCAAAAACAATGATATTAAATAAAATATTGAGCATGGATAAATAATTTAAACAAGGATAGAGCCAGCTGGGAAGGGGGATATCACACCAGGGGTGTATCCAGGATTTTTTCTTGGTGGGTTGTGATCATAATTTTTTGGACATTTTCACAGTGAAATAACAGCAAGATGTGATTAAAATGTCAACACAATTTTTTATTTTTTATTGTGATGTCCGGGCCTGCATGATGTTCACCACATATAGGTCTAGCAAAGGCAGCGTGTGCAACAGCAATATCGAACTTTAACAGTGCATGTGTTGCCCAGCAACAACTGTATTAGTTGCTGGTGGGAGACAGGAAAATCGATTACAGCACTACAAGCTTAAATCGGATGGCTGGCTCAGTTTCAGAATTGCTGGAATTGAGATAGATTACGTCACGCAATTGGCAAGGACTCATTGCTGGTACCTCATCAATGCCTTTTCATTTATGTCATTGTGAAAAGGCCCTAGAAAAAACATGTCTTTGGAAAAAATGTGGACCTTTGAAAATTTTTGGAGGATGGTACAACCATCCCTACCCTCCTTGCATATACCCATGCGCACACCCATAGGCAAATCCTGGCACCACCCCTGAATTTCATAATCCCTGTTTGGATTTTATGTCCTGATACATATGCTGAAAATGCAAAATACAGGTTTTGTGGATACACTATGTTTGGAATACCATAGTACAGTAGGACACCACTTGATAATGATTACATATTAATCATAATGTATACTTGAATCAAATACAGCATAGTAACTTTTTAGGAAAGGGTATTGTAGGCCTACACTATCAGTAGGACATTTAGCTTTACAATAATACCTGGATTAGGCCCATAATAAACTGGCTAAAATGATTTTTAACAATTTACACTGAACCCAGGAACATGATCCATTGTATAATTTTGTGAATTATTATCTAATATTATTATGAACGTGCTTATCACTGCATGGAAGTATCATAAAAAGAGTCATTCAACTAATTGCCTTGACAAATTACTACTAGTACCACAAAAGCATCGGAAACCCATCTTATCCCTAAGGCCATTAGTTTTGGAGATGACCTTATTGTAAAGTTTCTGTACAGAATTTGAAATGTTATAGTACAGTACAATCTATGGGCACATTTTGTTTAGGTGTACTGACATATTTTGCCTTTAACAAATGTTTTTACCATGGTGAACTATGTACTTTCCTTTTCTAATTTCATTCAAACAACAGTCACCAATGTAAAATGTCACACTGCATATGCTATACGTTTTTGTGAGTTACTGCATATATTTATTTTATTGCCATTTTTGTTGATTTGGCATCACTTTCATTCAGTATTTCCTCAAAACCTTCTTTGTACAAAATTAAACAATTGGCTGGCAGAGTTTCAGAGACGCGATATCCAACCCTCAGCAACGACTGGTTACAAATTTTAATAAGACAAATATGCAAGAAATTTGTTTACCAAACAGTTTTGGAAAATTTTTAGTGGTTTTTAAAATTTGGCTAAAGCATTTTCAATTTGGCGAAAGAGATTAAAAACCTTCCGCCATTTTGGCGAAAGAAAATAGAAATGGGTAAAATATTTTAGTCTCAAAAAGTCTGAGCAAATTTCCTGTGGACCCGTCCCATGGAAATATCCCCTGTGGACCCCATCTATGCGATAGTCCTTGTATAAATAAATTCATTTAGAACAATGAAATAGTAGAGGCCTAGGAATATGATAGGCCTGGTAATTATTGTAAGGAGGTCCTACTCAAACCTTTTCTTAATCTTGGGTCTCTACAGCAGTAACAAAATAGGCCTAAAAAAAATTCTTAATATTGTTCTTCTAATCTTTTTTATGACACTTTTAATGTGTCCATAAATAGGCCTCTATTCTAGGTAGGGGAATATTTAATTCTAAATTCATTTTTAAAAAAAGTGTGGCCAAGGTAGCTGTGTAGCACTAGGGCCTAGGCCTAGCCCATTTATGCTAAAAACTGCTGACCTACTACACTGTACACAAGTGTCGGTAAGCCCCTGAAAGCCCTCAGCTCAGCAGGTGTAACTCATCAGGAAATTCAAAAGGTAACCTAAGGCCATGGAGTTATAATTATTTTGGGCCTAGAGAGAGAGGCATAAACCTGAGTCAAAAAACACATCAGAACACGCACTTTTGTTGGATGAATGTTATTCAATTTTTTAAATTACAATGTAGACCTAGTACTAGTAAACATTAAAAAATATCAATTACACTAGGCTATATGTAGTGCTAGAATAGAGGTACAACAACATCAACAAGGTAGCATTTTTTACAACAATAGCAAATAAATGGCTGCCTACACAACGTTTGCCGTAACCATACTCACGGTAAACAGTAGTTGAGTTGAACCCTTGTTACCTTGTAAAATCATTCGGCCGTGATAAAGTCTCTGCTTGAGTAAAGTATCAATATTTTACTGATGTAGATGTTCACAATGAGGGCTTAAAATGGCCACTTTTTCTAAAACAGCAAGAGATTTAACCCGAAATATGAGTCCATTTAAACTGCGGCTTGAGGTTCCAAATTCCAATAAAAACCAACCTGTCAAGAGCACAGCCCGCATCAAGTAACAGGTTGAAGAGGCTAGGCGGTGACGCTCGGAGATCGACGAAGGTAATCAAGTATGAACTATAAATTTCTTGAGACGTTCATGAAGGATTCTAGGTGGCGCGTTTCATAAATTAGAAACAATAATGAGCTCCTTATAAGAAACTAAATAAAAGAAAAAGTTTTTCCATTAAAATTAGGCCTAGTATATATGGACGTTTTTTTTTCTTCAAGATATAACACTTATATCTTTAGGCCTACTGGATGGAACAAGGCTATAGAGAACATATAAAGCAGAAGTGATAGCTATCTATAAAGTCTTATATGGTGGTACAAACGAAATGATAAAACAATGAACATGATAAGACAATACCCTGCCTCGCCTTACCATTCATTTTTTTTTTGTCGTTTCATTTTTTTTTTGTCGTTTCATTTGTAGCGCCACTAAGGCTTTATGAATAGGCTACCGCTTCTGTTTTATTACTTCTCTATATAATCTTATTCCATCAAGTTTATTACCAGTACATGATGATGACCTGTGGTCGAAATTACCAGTAGGGGCCTACAATAAATATTTTATTTTTAGACAGATTTCTTAATAATACATCGTGTAGCATAGCTCTCAACGAATGTAGTCCTGTAAATATAGATTATATAAATCATTTTTTTAATAAAACAACCTTAAATTAGCCCAATTTTCCATTATATACTAAATTTATATTAGTTCTAAGTTTCTCCCCGATGCATTATTGCTGATATTATGTCTAAGTCTGTGTGATTGGGCAGTACACTGGGAGATTTCCTCCATGGGGAGACAATCCCCTTTTCCGAATAGTGTACTGTGTTCTTTAACGTGCACATGGGCCATAATGTACACGGGAGCTAAAACGGTTCCCTATCGTAACTTGCATTTCAGCCTTCCAACAGCGATGGCAATTGAACCGAGGACCTAGATATCTCCAGCAATGCCGTATACGTTGATGAGTGACAAAATAACACTACTTTGAATAGATTTTATTCGCTAAGCATATATCAAATAGGCCTACTTATTTTATCGATGATAGATAGTAACATTATTTCCGATGATGATCCATGGGGCGTAGGCTGGTTTGCATTGGGAGAAAAGTGGGGTGAAAAAATTCCGAATGCGACGAACCCATCCCCACGTCGGTATATTATTTCCGCAAAATATGAGTTATAAAAAAAAACAAAAAAAACAAAAAAAACAGAACGTTTGCGTTTTGTTGTCGGAAATAGGGATTATTTCTGCATTCTAAATTGTGCATCTCCGCTCCCCCACCCAACGCCGAAACTGACCTGCACATTGTGCCTACCTTCGATACTATTATCATATAGGCTTATCATCAACTATAAGGAATGGGCCTAAATTGACAGAAAAAAAACCCCTTCATATAGGGTGACAAAAGTGTGGGTAGAGAAATTGGAAGTTGAATGTTTTCAATTCTATTGTATATACATATTCTCTATATACATAAGTCGTTGAATGAACTGTTTCATTCATTCATTCATTCATTCATTTTATTCGAAATTCATATACAGCATAAAAATGTCAAGGATAAAAACACGATAAAGTAACTCAATAGTCAAACTTATTTCCATTGTGGTCCTTAAAAATTAATTAATTCCAAATATGATTTCATAACAACAACTAAAATATTCACTCAACACAACGATCATTACCATTATTATTTTCTCTGGTTAACCACTTTTTTTTAGATGATCTTTTACTTTTCTTTTGAATTCGTAGATTGATGATGACTGTTGTATTGTACTTGTAATGAATTCCAAATAATTGTTGTTGAGGATAGAAATGTTGTTTGAGCATGCCAATACCAATTACATGACATGTCTATAATAGCAAATTTAGAGAATCTAGTGTTGTAATTATGTAATGAATTGGCTCTCTGTATTCATTCCCTGATATATTTTGGGCTTAAATTGTTTAGAATGCGATACATATGGGTTAATTTTAACTGATTCACTCTAAGGTCTATTGGAAGCCAGTTTAATTTGGAAAATTAATTGGCACCAATATGAGGCCTGGGGGATATACCAAAAATACATCTCACAAGTTTATTTTGAGAAGATTGTAGCTTTACTTTTAACGATTTTCTTAAGCAAGCATACCAAAAATTGCATCCGTAATTGCAAAAAAATAAAACTGGAGGCTAACAATTTTAGAGTGTAAAAGTTAAGGTTGTCTAATTCGATATAAGAATTTAACCCTAGAATTAACCTTTTTTAAAACAGAGTAAGCAATTTCTTCACAATTAAGATTCTGATTCAGCAAAATTCCTAAATATTCAACTGACTTATGGTTCTCAATAATGTTACCAATACAGTGCACTCTTAAACTAGGTTGATTTTCAAGCATGCGATTTGAACCAAGTAATATTGAGGAAGTTTTACTATAATTAAGACACAACTTATTATCAATTAGCCATGTATTTACCAATAATTCATCGCTTAACTTATTTTGTATTTCTACACTGTTTTTATCAGACAACAAACACGGTGTCGTCAGCATACAGAAGAATTTTACAATTAATTGCTGATTCCATATCATTTACGTAAGCAAGGAATAACAGGGGCCCCAAAAATGGAACCCTGGGGGACTCCACACTTTATTTCGGAAAAGGATGAGTAAGTTCCATCAAAGTCAACCAATTGCCATCGATCATTAAGATAAGAATAAAACCAATCTACAGTTCTTTTGGACAGACCCATCGCTTTCAACTTTCCAAGAATAATAGTATTCTCCACCGTGTCAAACGCTTTCTGCAGATCTAAGACAACCATACCAGTTAAGTTAATATAGTCTGACAAGTGGATCAAACAAGAATCAGTTGAAAATGATGGTCTGAAACCCTACTGGAAATCATAGATAAGAGATTTTTTAGTAAAGTAGGC